CTTTCAATTAACAATATAATCGTTCATATTCAGAACAATATTATTTAATAACAATCAGTTTGAGCAATATTTTCTGATAAAGTGCATTTATTATGGATAATTTTCTCTGGGTAATATAAAATAATCAGTTTGAATGGGTTTTTTAAATCAATTATTGGTTATCAGGAACTACATACAGTTGAATGAGAGACACCGTAAACATTGGAAGAAAAACAAATAGTTATTCGGTTAAGGTGATTAGCAAGGAGTCATTTGGTATAAAAGAATCGTGGACGTGGCGCACATACTGAACTAATGTGATAATTAGTGGACACAATACTAATGATTCCTCTTTATAAAGAGTTAGATTTTTAGGCAAGATGCTCATCTGCGATTGAGACTTGGAAGTATATGTATAAGAATGCGGATAAATATGGGCTGAAGAGACATTTTATTAGTAGTAAGAAATCAGTCAGCAGTGATTTTCTTTCTCTTTTTCAAAATTGAAGAGCAGAAAAATAATGCGTTTACTATATCCAGCTAGTCTACGATAAAATCACTTCACTATTATTGATCACATTTCTTTTGAAATCCTATTAGTTTCTACAGAAATTTATACCTAAAACGTGGAAGCCATGGAGAATCTTTTAAGGAATTGTTTCTGACATTACAGAGCAGCCCACCAAGAAAAAAAATACTATACAATGTTACAGATAAATTTCTCTGTCAAATCTTCTTTGAAGCAAAGATGGAATTACCACTACAGAGAGTAGGAAATTACACTGAACATGTAGAACTATAGCAACTCACGTGCGATTGAGTTTGTTCTCATTTAACTCAGTTAAGCCATTTTTTAACTTAGAGGACAAAGTCATCCGTACTATAACAACTTATTGTACCTTTATTATTGTTGTGCTTGTATAAAATATGTATGCTTGAACATTGCTTATCGCCTACGCACATATTCATTCTGCTAGCTTTATTATTAACTGCTTAATTGATTCGATGATCCATTCATTTATATATATATATATATATATATATATATATATATATATATATATATGTGTACATTTAACACTCAATATTCACGGTTCGCTGACTCACTCATTCGCCTCTCTGCTTTGTGGTCTGAGTTATCTGCTAATAAAACTGTGATCGCTGCTTCTCTTTGCCCTTTGATTTCAAACACCATTGAGGATTATATGATAACGGTTACGAGGGTGATTGGTCAACGAAGCACAGCCACTACAAAATCATCAGATGTCTTGTGATTTTAAGCGTTTCATTACTTATTCGAAACCAACCTTTTTCTATTTAGTTATAACTGTTCAAATTTTTATCATGTTCATTTTAATAGTCCTTCAAGTCCTCTTTTATTAATGAAGTAAACTGTAAGATCATTTAAATAGTTAACTTCTACATAATAATAATGTGTATTCGTTTTAAATATCATAAATCTTTATATCTGACCTATCTAATTATTTATGTGTTTAATCACCATTCATCGTTTTGTTAATCAATAAAATAGGCTAAAAATACCTTGTACAGGAAGAAAGTAACCAGTTGAAATTTGTAACATAAGTCACAGACCATTAAAAAACAGAAGTTTGGCATATACCTGAAATACCTTCTTTACTATCCATTCAATTTTTCTCTTCTGTTATAAACTAAATTCTTGTCAGAAACAAATACAAGATTAACAATATTATTCCAAAGATTTCTCTCATATGAAAGGTAAATGAGAAGAGATAAAATACCTTTATGAAAAAATACCATACATTTCACCAACATAAAGAATGAAAGAACTATTACTCGAAGTGAAATCAATTTCAAGTTCGATTGCTTTTGTTTTAAAAAAAAAATATAATTGAGTAAGCAATAAAGTTTTTTCAATAGTGAATGATAGTTATAATAATAAATAATTCTATAAAGTTCTAATTAACTACTTAACTAACAATACAAACAAATAGCATTTAAATTAAGTGTTTCAATTTGATAAACAAACTAAAGTCAACAACTTAGTTATTCTGTAAAGTTAATATTTATTATTTTAACTGATGTTTAGTTATAAAAATCTTCAGTATATATACGATTTTGTTGTCCTTCATATGTTTACTCATGAATCTACCTACCTGAAGTGAACTTACAAATGTTGCTAGTGTGGCTTTTTTTTTCATTTCAATAAAAATAAATGACATTGAACTTCTACCACATAATGTGTTTTATTTTTCTCTCTCTTTCCCTTCCTTTTATGGTGGGTTTTTTTGTTCTCTCAATTGTTCAGTGTGTTATTTTTCATTTCCTGTTGTTATGTGATTTGTGATTAGAATTAACGATGAAACAATTTCCTGTCAATTAACTCTTGAATGAATAATCAGTCATTTAATTATATTATAAACCCACATACACGTATGCATAAAATGGCGTGCAAATATACTAGACTTTTTAAGCCAAATTAATTCATTAATATATAATACATAATTTTTGTTTTAAACAAAACTCAGGATATATTAAATGGAATAGATCACAAAAACAAAGATTTACAGATAAACTGAAGATAGTAAGTTTTGACAGTTTTAATCATTCAAATATGGTCTTCATCATAACTGACATCGATTTAAGAAATAAATTCAAAATAATGAAGACTATTGAATAGTTCATGACCTTCTAACATAGTTAACAGTGTACATAGATGAGCATTTAAAGTTAATAACGTAGATCAACATTTATTTTACGCCACAATGTTGTTTATCTACTAAGTTAGCGTTTCTGTAACTAAATAATCTTAATTTTGAGCATGAATTTTAATAGTCATTTCTTTTGCAGTTAATAGTTATTAGCCAGTGAATAACTAAATAGGTTGGTACTTTTAACATAAGATGATGATTTTGGTAAAGAGACCTCTTGATCAAATATCTTAAATTAATACCTGCTTAATGACCATGAGCAACAATTGAAGATTGTATATATTGACTGTTTCTTTTTAGATTATCCATAAAGTTGACGACTACACTCAATCATTTAATTAATTTGGAAATGTACAAGTCAGCCGATAACTATCGGTTGTTTATAGTCATTCTACGACATATCATAGATAAAGATTCTGCATTTGTTAAGATGACCTGGTTGCCTTTATCTTAACTATGACACCTGAAGTTTCAGTTCAATGGCATAACTGATGATTGGCCTATAATAAAACTTAGTACATGAGTTATCTAATATGTTACAGTTTATTGAAATATAAATTGCCACGAGCATCTAACGGATTGACTGAAATGGTCAGCTGTTGAAGAAAAATTAAATAAATAAACTGAGATTAGATAGAACACTCTTGTCGACCAGCGATGTCTACTCAAACGAAGGATAAGTTACCTGAGTTGGCCTCTTCCATGTGCATTTACAAATTCAGCTGCTCCTGTGGAGATAGCTATATAGGGCGTACTACCAGGCAACTTAACCAACGAATGAGTGAACATCTACCAACTTGGTACATAAAGGGCCAGAGAAAAACTATTCGCAGTTCTATATTGGCACATCTTATTGATAGCGGTCATGCTGTAGATAAATCGAAATAATTTCAAGTTATCTATCGTATACCTCCATCATTTCCCGACGGAGTCCGTTCCCGCCTCTTACACATAGCTGAAGCTATAGGAATTCGTACATATAACCCTAATTTATGTGTACATAAGAAAATCGTAACCCCTCTATCCTTCCCATGGCCAGTTATAACTTAACTAACGATTTTTTAAAAATTATTATTATTTATTTATTTTATTCTATTTGTGTTATCGTTAACCTTATTTCCACATCCATTATTTGTTTGTAATTTTCCGCCTCTTTGTATTCTTCACTATCTAATTATTTACACATATCTTATTACGTAATGATTTTAATGTTTTGTGATTAGTATTCCTAGTCTATTTACCCATGTTTGTTTGACCTTCTATTGCCAACGATTAACTATTGATAAGAGTTTTGTAATTGTATTTTATTATTCTTACTATTATCAGTTCACCTGTCTTCCTACTACTATTAACTTGTACTTTTACCTATTATGTGTAGTGACTTATTCTATTTCATTGTGATTATTGACCCATATTGCCTTGATTGGTTTAAAAATTTTCGTATAAATATTCATAGAGTAAAGCCTGATGACGATCTAATTGAAAACAATTGTTCGCTTATATGTGTTGTTTTAAAGAACACAGAAAGTATGATGTTATCGAATAAGAGTGTTTGTTGAAAAACTAGGAGGCACTAGATGGTGGCTCATTAACCTAGACCAATGGTGTATAATTCGATCCCAGATGTGGTCATGGATGGTCATTGCTGAAGAAGGAACAGTTGTTCATTGCTTTCTGGTTTCCAGCTTCGGTTCAACATAGATCATCTTGTGATACAAATTATGAAAATTCTACGATCCCAACAAACTCTCACCCTGTATTAAAACAATATTTATTCATGCCTATCTTTATAAGTAATAACTGCATATTTCGGTGAAGCACTGACTTACTCTATGTAAATTTTTTATCCATAACAATTATGATAATCCTTTTGACATAACCAACTGAAACCACAAAAAAATATTCAGTACTAACAACAAAAACCGTTTGTTTTATTTAGAAGCTTTTCATTAAAACTATGCATAATTTAGAAATAAATTTCCATCACAAACTGATGGAACAATTCAAAATGCATAAACTTGTTTCAGCATAGTCTGTGAATACAATTCATGGTGTTTATTTACAAACCAATACGGTATTGAGAGATTTGGGATGTTAGATAACTCAGTAAGTGATTGATAACCAACTCACAATCATATCTAAAATCAATGATTTCATTTAGGTAAAGCATTCCAATGTAAAATCAAAACGTTTTAATGTATCCTCTAGTAATTATTGAATAACAGTTTCAGATTTTACTTCATATATATAAAATCAATTAGTTACTATTTGAAATCCCCCTCCCCAAAATAAACATTTCATGAAAGTTTTTCTGATTTCTTTTTTATCCAGTTCATCAGAAAATTTATCTTCATTAATTAAACGCTTAGAACTACCTAAACAAGAATTACTTGTTCGTCAGATCAATACAACTAATCCATTGTTTATTGCTCCTTTATCCGATCACAATTCAATAAATATAAATATTTCTGAAAGACAAACTGAAATCAATCAACAAAATAATCAGAATATATCTAAATTAGAAGATATTTTATCGGATATTTCATTGTCTACATTTTGGGAACCATTTAAAACTGTTGAAAGAGAAGAAATTGAAATAAAATCTCCCAAAATAGAAAATATGATATCAAGAAAGGATGAAAATTCAGTTGTCAATTTTAAGGTAGTTATTTTCTTTTTTTTTTAATGATAAGTACACTTTTATTTCGTGTCAAGAAAATAACTTGTAGTTCAGGCTAATCTTGAATTTACTTTTTACTTGATAAAAGATCAAAAATGATCTGTGAGTTTCAGTCTACCACACCGTAATCAAAGTTTTCATCTATATTTATTCTATGATCTCTGCACTATTTGTGTAATTTATTGCTTAAATAATAATATCAATAAGTAATAATCCAGAGAAACTACTAATTGCAGTATTCTTAGTTCATTCATAGGCTTAGCTCTATATATTAATATAATTTTAATCTGTTTAATATTACTATGAGGTTTAGTAAATTTGAACTGTGGTTAGAAGAGAATCAAATTTTTACATATAATAAGTTATTAAACAATGAAAACTAACTACACTTATTCAATATGTTTCATATCGACACTTTTATAATAAACCCATTTTTATCAGGATGGGTTTTGTGGAAATTTTTAGAAATTTCACCGGTTGAAACCATGAGTCAATTGAAGCGAGACCACCATGGAAAACCTGGAAGCACTGGACGGCAGTTTCGTCCTAGTTTGGAATCCTCAGCAGTGCGCATCCACGATCCCGCTCCACGTGAGATTCGAACCCAGGACCTATCAGTCTCGCGCGAGAGTACTTAACCACTAGACCAGTGAGCAGGCATCCAACGGTGTTAATGTCTAACTTCAGCCAATCCACGAAGTTGCGCCACCGTAAACCATTATCTTCAGTGAGTTCCTATCTCGCAACAGACCTGGTTGGACTCCACTGGTAACGACTTCCCACCAGAATTCCAGGAGTATCTCCTGAAGTCAGTCACTAGTGAGCAGGTGATTATTATTATCAAAATAGGTTTTGTGGAGATTGAAGTAATTTCAACAGTTGACATCATGAGTTAATTGAAGTTAGACCACCATGGAAAACCTGGAGGCACTGGGCGGCCGTTTCGTCCTATTGTGGGACTCCTCATATTGTTAGTTAATAAGAAAGGTACCATTGTCAAAGCTTTAAAATTAATTAATGATAAATTATACTTATTTATAATTGTTGTCAACTCAATTCGATAAAATGTAACTCAGTCTTATTTTGCTTTTATTTTGTCTTAGCAACTGTATTTCTTATACTAAATTATTTAAATCATACTGAACTTTTAATTTATTGTTAAGTCGGATAGTAAGTAAAGAAGGTTAAGGTTTTTTTTGGATCATTTACTTGTGATAAATTGTCTCTCAACTGTATCACATTAGAAAATAGTAAGATTTAGATTATCAACGAGAAATTTTTTTCCATCAAAAATAAGAAAAGAAACTGATGACTAAGATTGTAAGTATTAGATTTTATTATGGTCTATCACTTAAATAACTTTACTATAAACAATGAAACTATCAAAGGATCTAATACAAGATATTCCAAGTATTAATGAACTACACCCTTTTAGCATTTCAAGACGTAGTCGGATAACAATATTTATCATGAACTAAAGTCAGATTAAGGATTGTCAAGATAGTGGAGAAGATTTGTAGCTCAGGTGGATGATTTTGATGGAGATTTGTTCAAGATCAACCAGAATCAATCAACATCGAGATCAACAGACAAGCTGTGAACCATAAATGAAGAAATTCAAACATTTCACTTCTACCTGAAGTTTGTTCTGATAATGTCGTTCAGAAGAACGATGAAAGCTCTATGACCAAACCATCCAGTTCACAGGACAAAACTCCATCCAAAAGCATTGTCAAACATGAGAAGGCACTTTTTTTACTAAAAACATATTGTAGATCAACTCTATTAAGCTCAAGTTTAGTGGCGCGAAAAATATTTGAATGGTTAGGTGGAAAGTTAATTAATGTTTATTTTTATTTGAAAATTTCCTTAAATTTATATACAATTTCTGTTAAATTACACAACATAGTTACAAAGTGTTTTTGTTTTAATTGTATCGTTTTATATTTTAATCAAATATTTGTCATATTTATTCGATAGTTACATCCAATATTTTCGGGAAAATCATGGGCTCATTCATTATTTAAAGAAAGTATAAATTGTTATGATGAATATAAAGAGAATCCAGAAAGAATATTAGACGATCATTTTAGTCGAATATGGAAAACACGTGAAGTATGTATGCTTTCAGAAGATCAAATTGATTTACAAACTGCATTTCCAAAGTATTCCAAAAAATGTAATAAAACTCGTAGAAAATGTCATACAAATAAACATATCTATTATGAAGATAATAATAATATTCATCATAATTTAAAAGGTAAGTGTAAAGAAATTCAAGGAAACTAATTTTATAGATTAGAATCAATAATACTTAATTAACTAATTGACCATTTGTTTTCCCTATAAATGCTAAAGTGTTATGTAGATAGAAATCTTCTTTGACAAAAAACCACTTTATACTACAATAATACATCCTTCTGTACTGAAAAGAATTCTCACAATCTGAAGAAAGCGTTACTGAAAAACAACAGAACAAAAACTCGCCAAAATATGCATTATTATATTCTGAACCAATAACTTCACATTTTCTAGGAATATGATTGAGGCTGACAAACTTAGATGTAATCACATTCAGAATCATATCTGTGTGTTCCTGAAATGTTATATACAATGAATAAATATTCATTTAGTGTCTTGTTTCGTTTTGAAAAATCAATAAGTTAACTCAAGCCAATGCATAATAAAAGTGGAAGGTGATTTTGTTTGTAATGTTAGATAATTTTTGGTTAACTGTGTAAAATAAAGTAGTTCACAAGCACTATAAGGAGGAGAACGAAAAGAGATATGTTATTATTTTAGTTGCATTACTTATAAAAGACAAATAGTCTAACATTTATCTGGATGATATATAGTATTTGATAATGAAGTAGTGCAGGGATCATTTACTGAGTATTTTATCGTTCATTCATTACTTTTTGTTAAGAAAATAAACATATAATTCACTATCACAAGGGTTTTTTTGTGGATATTACAGTAATTTTATAGTTGAGATCATGAGTCATTTAAAGTTAGACCACCATGGAAAACATGGATGCAGTGGATGGCCGCTTCGTCCCATTGTGGGCCTCCTCAGCAGTGCTTATCCACGACCTCGCCTTGTGGGATTCGAATCCAAGACCTATCAGTCTCGCGCGCGAGCGCTCAACCACTAGACCACTGAGCCGGAATCTAACAGTGTTAGTGTTTAAATTCGACCAATCCACAAAATTGCGCCACCGTACACTATTGTCTTCAGTGAGCTGATATCTCACAGCAGACCTGGTTGAACTCTACTGATCACTGCTTCTCACTAGAACTCCAGGAAATGACTCTTGAAGTCAGTCATTAATGATTACTATCAGAAGGGGTTTTGTGGAGATTTTAGTCATTTTAATAGTTGAAATCATGAGTCATTTGAAACTATGATTATTTGAAGTAACTGCTTTTTAATATATTTTAATACTTCCTTCCTTCTTTTTTTTTTAAAGATTTCAAAAACAATATAAAGTTAAATGGAAAAGATGAATTATCTTATTGGAATTGTAATAATTCTCAATATATTGATCATAATGAAGAGAATATTGATAGATGGAATTCTAACCAAACATTAATGAAAAATCATTTTAATTCATCAAAACAACTTCAAATCACTACGTCTCATTATTCATATGATCATAATAATTATCATACTAATTTACAACAAAAATATTATGTATGTAGTCTATGTAACAAGCATTACTTTGAACAAAATGATTATCATGATAATTTATTCAATCCAATTGAGGAGGAATATATTCCAGTGTGTTCGGATGAAGTTATAACAGATTATATCACTTTCCATACATCTATAGACCTAAGAAGAAAGAAAATTGGAATAAAAGAATAATTAATCACAGGTAAATAACATAAGTTTACTTCACAGGTTTTGTTTAACTCACGAAATTAGTATGTATTCTTCACTTCAAGTTTCATTGTCCTAATTATATAACAAACTTAATTCTATAAAATAATATATGGGTCATTGAATAGTTTTACTTGTTAACCAGATGTTTTAATGACCATTTCTACAATTTACCCTAAGTAATGGGTCTACAATAAGGTAAACTTTAAACAACTCAATTTATTTATATTAATTGACAGTTTGAACGTTTCATCAACTTGTGATATTTAAGTAACATGTAACATGTTAAATAATCACAAATTATTATATGGAAAAAGTTGATTGATTTTGATAAAGGAAATGATGATAAGCAACGAAATGATATAATAGTATGGTGTGGGTTACTTATATCCACACAAATAGTATATAATGGTGGTCAGACATAGAATGTATTTCAGTAGAAGGTCGATGAGGAAAGAACGGGAACAGAACACAATTAGTATGAAAACGTATGAACAATGAAATCTGAGACAATGGATTGATGTTTGCAACAGAAACAGTCAAGTTTGATATGATGGACTGGTATTTTGCAAATTAACGATTTACTATATGGTTCTCAGATTTTATTGAGGTGCTCTGTAATTTCGTGTCATATACATTCGATTGTCCCTACTGGTGTTCTGTTCACTACAATAGTATTATAAAGTGAACACTATGAAAATGTTTAACATAGGTGAGAAATCGATTTTTCTCGAAATAGGGTTTTAAAAAATTTTCGAAACATAATAATCACACACAAACTATCTAAAGTTGTTATGTACCTTAAATGATATTTCTCTATTATACCTGATAAATGTGAGTAATACTATTTACGATTCAAAATTAAAAGTGTCCAAATGAATAAGTAAGCTCATTTTCGGAACTTCTTTATCGCATTAAAAGTTTAAGGTACGAATTTGAATGTTTAGTTCACTTTTAGATCAATAATAACAAGGAAGTACTAGTAGTTCATTTGGTCACAGTTTAAAACTTCCTCTCGGCTTCTGTAATACAAGAAGACGTCTTAGAATTAATTCTGTTAATTCCTAATGTTAATAAATCTAAAGTTGAGACAAAACGTTCATATAGTGCCCTCTGGTTTTTAGTAGTTATGTGGCTGAAAATTGGTCGAATATTATAGAATTCCATATACATTTTTATGCAGTCCTTGTACATCAAGATTCTGAATAGACATGATCAGTCTAGAATTTTAAATTGATACATTTTTCAATAGTGAATTTAGATTCACTCAAGTGAATAAATACTTCTCAGCAATCTAATGATATAAAGTAAGAGACAAATCCAGATAGTCAGTTGAACATGTTCTTTTTTGCTATCAATAAAATAATTATTTCATTCTCATTGGTTAGTGCTTAATTGATAAATTGAGCTCTTCGTAAATCCGTTCCAACATATCATCATTAGTAAGAACTTGAGTTATTCCATTGTTGATGTTCAGAAATGGATTTTAATCGATCTTTCTTTGGCATATGTTCATCCTGTTCTAATTGAATCGTTATAGTCATTATTTCGCTTTATTTAGAATAGATGAATCGTGATTAGGAGAAAAATTTAGGACTAACACTTTATTTTATTTGGGATTCATCAATTAGATATACCTGCATATCAGTGTTAATGTTCACATTTGAACTGTAATTTAGTAGCCTTTACCTAAAACGCTCAACTCGTATATAAAACAAAAACTGGATTCCACTGTAAACAAAATCTTTGTATTCTAAATAACTTGTTTTAGTATAGTTCTTAATTACTTACTTACTTCTGTTAATCCCAATGGAGCAAAGGTCGCTGACCAGCATTCTACAACCCACTCTGTCCTGGGCCTTCCTTTCTAGTTCCGTCCAATTGTTATTCATTCTTCTCATCTCTGTCTGTCTCCATTTCTCAGTGTAATGTGCTCTTTAGTCTTCCTCTTCTCCTTTGGCCTTGAAAATTCCAAGTGAGTGCTTGCTTTGTGATGCAGTTGGGTGCTTTCCTCAATGTGTTTCCTATCCACTTCCAGAGCTTGTGATCTCTTCTAAATAAAGACCTTCTAACTCTCAGGGTAGATTTTAAATCGTTTAAATTATTTTTCCTGATTAGCGTTTTTTAGCGAATTAGTTTTCCACGGGGTGTGGTCTGTAACAACATGCCCAACCCTTCTCCTTTATCCGGGCTTGGAATCGGCAGTAGCCTTTAAGAGGCTCTAATCGGAGTTTAGTTTCTAATTGTATATTAACTATTCTTTGGTATACATTTATCCAATCGACAAATCTTAAAATAAATCAATAGAAATCCAATTTTCTTTTATCTAAACTGATTGCTCTATCTAAATTAGTCTTTTACATCAAGTTCCGATTAACTGTTTAATATTATAAATTAGATAATGAAGATTAATGTTTAAATAACAACAAAATGGTTGATAGCTCAAATTTTACTACTATTTTTCATCTACTTCATATTCACAATAATCATGGCAGTGTAAGGAATATTAATTTACTAACCAAGATTCAATGAATAGTATTGTAATTTCCGTTAATTCATTAAAAATTAATTCAATCATATATACTAACGTATAAGTTGAATACCAGTTCAAGCGTATCCATGGAATACAAACTGACCAAATTATCAATACAGACAATAAAATTATCTTATTCATATTAAGATGGATATGGTTCAATGATCACTTCTACCTCTTCTTCTTCTTCTTCTTCTATGCTTTCTTCGCTTTCTTCCAACATTTGAATAGTCCAGTATCCCTTTTTTCAATATTTTTTACAATTTTAATTGTGTTTTTCTTCTTTCTTTATTTTGTTTTTAAAAAAAAAGAAAAAAATTCGTTATCAAGCATTTTAATTTAATCTATATCAATATGAAAATGTATGATACACATAGATGATTGCTTGATTTATTAAACAACAACAACAAAACACACATTTGACTAGTAACTAATTTCTAATTCAATTATAAATTAAAAAAGAAAAAAAAAGAACAGAGAACTAAATAGGAACATATCAAGTTCACATTTTTTTCTCTATCAACTTGGTAACATTCTCATTCACAAAAAAAGAAAACTGTGTTTTTGTTTAAGGGTACTTTTTTTCACTTATTTAGAATAACATTCACTTGATTGTCTTTTATATGGGGTTATTAGAAAGAAAGAAAAAACGAAGTTATTCGCTTATAATACAATGTATCCAACTTATGTTTTTTTATAAATAGAATCCCATGAGATTTTGTTAAAGAAGAACAAATTAATTTACTAATAAACTAATTAAATATTTAAAACTGGACATTGTAGCTAAGAGATTTATTTATTTTCCTTCTTTTTCCTTTTCTTTTTTTTCTTCTTTTTATGTGGACTTTTAAAATAATACAAATTTTCTTAACTATATTAGTTGGCATGAAAGATAGATTCTTTTTTCTTGTTTTTAATTTGTCATCTCATATGTAGATAAATATTACACGGTATATTGGTTCTTGGATTTGTTTTTTCAAAGTAATATGTTATTGAAATAATTAAGAATAAATTAGTTTTATTATGCATTACTTTTATACAGATATATATGTGTATGGTAAACATAAGCTAAATGTAACTTCTCAACAGTGTGCATCCACGATCTCACCCCCCTTCCCCGAGGTTCGAACCCAGGATCTATTAGTTCTTCCAGTGCTTCCAGGTTTACCATGGTGGTCTAAATTCAATTGACTCATGATTTCAACTATTGAAATTTATAAAATCTCCACAAAACCCTTTCTGATAAATCTAACTTGACAAAAACAGTAATAATACATTATATGTGAAATATATATATTAGAAATAGTCTTAGCAATTGAAATTTAAAATAATTCCAACGTTTCGTTCAGCAAACATGTTTGAACTTGTTCAAGGTAATAATCAAAATCATCAAAGAATTATATAACGTTTTAACAAACAAATTAAAGCATAGTATAGATGTGATGTTTGATGATTTTGATTTTGATTATTAACCCGAAGAAGCTTAGACAAGTTTGCTGGACGAAACGAAATTATTTTAAATTTTAATTGCTGAGATTATTTCAAATATAATTTCCACATATATTGACTTATCTATACTCAGCACCTAATGACTGTCAAACTATTCGTTCCAATCTTGACGAATATTTGTATAAAGTAATAATACAGTTGGTGATCGATTATAGTAACATAGATTCTGAGCTTTAATATTATCTCATAACCTTTATTCTGAGAAATTGTTCCTCCTTTTCTAATCATATACATCCTAAATTTTATTATTATTATTATTGATATTACTAGTATTTAGAATTCTTTATTAATTATTTTGTTAACTTTATTTTCCTATCCCGATTTGGTTTCATAAATTCGACGGATACATATGAATAATAACTTAGATAAATCAAAACATCCAAATAAATAGTATGAATTAGCGATAGTAAGAAGTAGAATGTTAAGAATTACAATTTATACATTTGGAGTGGATGTAAAGAATCAGTTTATCTCAGATGAAGTGGTGAATAATATGTTGCTTAGATAAATGTCATCATAAAATAGATATAAATGAACTGAGAAAGAAAATCTGATATGGTGAATATTTGAATCCATTCGATTATATATACATAATTTGACTATGTAATGAAATTATAAAATTAGTCTATGTGAACCTGTTTTAAATATACAATTTATGAGTTCAATTTAAGACTCATAGTTTGGATTCATTTTGGTGAGACCATAATTTATGGATAACTTTTAAGCGACACTAAAGTGACCTTGAAAGTGTCTAACTGCTTAAAAGGGTTAAATGAAGGTTATAAAGCAGTTTTAAGAATAAAGATTATGATTCATAGTTGATGGTTAAGGTTAAGAATTAGATTTATGGTTTGACATTACGAACTGAAATCAGCTATAATGCCAAGACGCTGTTTAGCTTGATGGTTGAGTGAATTTCACACCAAAATCCAAGACCTGTTATCCTAAATCTAATTGGTTAGTTCATAAATTATAGTCTCGCATTAATTTCATCAGAAACTCTATGTATGATTAATTATTCTGACAATTTTTATAACAAAACCTATGAACTGAAAAAAATAAAAACTATCTGATAGCATTCTTACATTGTAATAACATATAGTTTTACTATCTGGTAATTATAGTGAAAGAATTTCATTTGTTTGATTAAATTTTCAAGTTGTAGTGTAATCTATTTTGAAATAGCTACCTGTGGTTTGTTAATTCTCAATAGTTCTTTAACTCATTAAAAGTTGATTGTAAAACCTATTTTAACAGATTAAACACTGTCTACTGTAATAACATTCATTTAGTGTTTCATATATTTGAAAGACCACATTTACAGTGTGAAAGTATATTAAAAATAATGGGGAAATATCTTTATTTATTGTTTTATATTGGGTGTGGATTAATAACTACATTGCTGAAACAAATTTTTAGATAATGGTAATGGTGTTTGTCATTTGGATGACAGATTTCATAGACTAATAAATCATTATCAGAATAATTTATATAGGTGTCAGTTTTTCAATACAAGTTTATATATATATATATATATATATTATATATATATTATATATATATATATATATATATATATATATATATATATATTAGTGACAGTTAGACTTAAAATGTATGATTGACTGACTTAGCCTTGTGTTGCCTTGACAGATAAAAATAAACAAATATTTCATTTTCTACCCATGTTCACACAATGAATGAAATTGTTGTTTTAACTGAATAATAAGTAGTTAAATTAAATCATCTTAAGTTTTTGTATAAAACATAGTAGAGAGATTAAATTAGGCCTGAAAATTTTTTTTATGTGGCTAAAAAAAATGAAGCAAATAGCTAACATTTCTAACGCCAATTTTGAATAAAAATGTATGTTTTTCTTTTAAAAAAATCTGGATAGTAATTAGGGTTAGGTATATAGGTGGTAAGGTAAACCATGAAAACTTTAATGTGTGCACATTAACTAGAAACTATAGTACCCAATAATGGCGTCACTAAATTCAGATATGAAATGATGGTAAGTGATCACGCCGGATGTGCTGCTTATTAAGGATAGTAAAAAAAGTGATAAAATCTAACTGGGTCATGATCAGCTTGTAAACTAAAGACAGTGATCTCAAATATACATGACCGAGCAAAATAGTAGATTTTAAAAATTTAGATAGTTTTCAACAATAGACTGGTAGAATCTATTCACAGTTCAAGCTCTCAAAGGTTGAATTCCTTTTCAAAAGCAGAGACTTAAATGCCTTATTTCAATGGTGGCTAATAGCGAAATCCAGGATGCCGAAAGAGACTGATAAACAGCAGTCATAAACATCAATGGAAAGATTCAAACAACCACTATGTGAGTTTAATTAAACCGGATTAGCCTAATCCATGTATACAACAATTCGTACATGTTTTGATTACTTAAAAAGTGCTATATAGTCTTAGCTATTAATTTCATTTTATAATGAATAAATTTCACATTTTGTCTATATCGGTTATCTTGGTAACCTATCAATTTTGACGAATCCAATGACTAAATTTATTTTAAAATTGGATTTATTTTAAATATTGTTTTTGTTTTATAATAGGTGCCCCTCATATAATAGCTGTTTAGATAAATCAGAGAAATACAATAACAGAAAATATCGTAATCATTTCATTCAAACTTCAATATCATTACAGGATGTTACTAATGATAAAGAAGATTTTCTGTTGAATAACTTCATAATTAGCATAATTTATATATCAGAAGATTCATTACCACACATAATTCCATGTGAAAATATTCAATGGACATTGAAACTTTTTAAGAAGAAAGTTATTCAAAAACTATATTCCATTAATCAAAAACTTCAAAATGAAATGTATAATGAATTCCAGAATTTGAAGAAACGGTATGATAAAGCTTTTTTTTCTAATCTATGTAGTTTATATGAGATTTTAATCATGGATATAATTGAGAATTTAAATTTTCAAAGAAAAAACTTATTCAAGACATGATATTCATAAAAACCAAATAACGTTATTCTTAAAGTCAAAGATTTCGCTAGCTAAACATGAAGACTGTTGCTTACATCTAGAGTACCTGATTGTTTATACAAGATATTTACTAGATAATAAACAATAAATCCATATTTATTTGCTCACTAGTAACTAGCTTTGTAAGGGAATTCTCGGAGTTCTAGTGAGAAGCCATGATCAGTGGATCTAATCCATGTTGGGTAGAGACAAGTATCTACCTCAGTACAATGGAAGATGGTCGCGCAATTTCGTAAATTGATTGAGGTCAGAAATTAACACTACTGGATGCCGGCTCAGTGATCCAGTAGGATAGGCGTTCGCGCACGAGACAGAAGGTCCTGGGTTCGAATCCCGCGAGCGGGATCATGGATGTGCACTGCTGAAGGAGTTCCACAATAGGACGAAGCGGCCATTCAAGGCTTTCAATGGGGGTTGAACATCAATCGGTTCATGACTTTAGTTAAAAACTTAATAATCTCCACAACCCCTATACGCATAATATTGATTTATCTTGATAACATTTCGGTTTGAGAAACCTCAAGGTAATAAGCAACAGAAAACTTTAGAATCCATTATCTCTCTAAAAAGGATAAAACAGTAATTGATTAATTGAATAATTAAAATGCATTATATAAGAACTCAATCAAAGACTCTCTTGTTCTAATGAACAGTCATTCAGTCAGAATTAAATAGCTCACTACTTTAAGTTCAGTGTGTTTATCAACAGAGTATCACTTTTATTTAGTTTCATCTGTGCATTAGCGTTTTACTATAAATTTAATTGAAGCTACTCACTTTGGTAACATACTATTGAAGAGTAGATTTTTTACAACATAATTTCTTCGTAACAACTATCAGTAAGATCAATGGATATCATCAATTTCACAAAAGATCAAATTAACATGACATTTTATGGTTCATGTGATTCTAATCAGTCTATCTAAATACTTACTTCTACTACTCTTACGGTTAGTTTGATGCAAATGACTATTCTTAAATCTAAGAGAATTAAAGTTGTCACTTAATTATCTCTTTTATATGAGATAGGTTTATCAGTTTCTAGTGTTTTCATACCCAAAATTTTATTCTGAAAACAATGGTCAATGTGCCATTTGAATATTGTTTATCAATAATCTCCAGTAAAGAGACAATTATATTTGACAATACATATTTGTTTACATTGTATTATTTACAATGATTTCTATCTAATGTTTACATTACTGTTGTTCATTTATTTTTTCTTATAATTTTAGATTTTATTTCAAAACTGAATCCAATGAATTTAATACCAATATGATTTATTATGAAATTATTGATGATACAAAACTGATACCTCGTTGGAAAGGTTTAATATGGGCTAAAATTGAAATAGATCACAATGAAGTATTATAAGTAGTAAACATTGGTTTTCATTCTTGTTAATTTATATGTACATATTATTAAGATATAAAAATATATAAATTATTTCTTAAGTTATTTTATTCTTGTATGATCTAATATACAACAACAAGGGCTGGGATGGTTACATGATCCATAATTATATTGCCTAGATTTTATGAATTTTGAAAATCTTGTCGAGACCTCATTGAATTTTCGATGGACTATCATGTTTAATTGGTTTTTAAAATTGTGTACTGTACTTAATATATCCAACACTGCATTTGCTTAATTAAACATTTAACTGCTTTCGACGAAACATTTTCAATAGTAGAAGTCCAACAAAAAATTGTTTTTATAACATTATGCAACTAAGACTACCATAGCTGATAGAAAAACGATCTTATCTTCCTAGATGTGAAAAAAAATTATAAATCTAGAATTTTGTAATCTTTGTACGATAGTACTTCAGCTGTACCGTAAACACGAGTTTATCAATTTTGAATGATGAGCGACCCCGAATTCAATGAATAAACATGAATTATTACTTTATTTTAATCAGTATAGAGTTGTGGAGATTATTGCGTCCTGACTGAGATCACTAATCGATCGATGTTAGACACCCATTGAAAACCCGGAAGCATTGAAAGTTCGTCTCATCCTAGTATGAGACTCCTCAGCATTGGGCATCCACGATCCCTCACGCTGGACTTGAACCCAAAACCTGTCTTGTGCGCTAATGCTTAATCTCTAAATAACTGAGTCGGCCGACACTCGATGGTGTTAATGTTTAACTTCAACCAATCCATGATATTGCGCTACCATCTTCTATTGTCTTTTGTGGATCGTTTGTTCAGTTGACTGACATTAACACGACTGTGTTCTTTTTCTTCAGCCTTAAGAATTAATCTCGAGTGTATGGGCATAAATATTTTGAAAATGTGATTTATTTAAATGCTATCGAAATATATACTTAATATGTTCAGATGCATAATTTTTTGTGCTTAAATATGTCAAGGTGTAATAAGCTGACAAACAAATTATCTCGGGCTGTAACCACATTCAAATTTTAATCTAAACGAGTAGCAGCGTAATTACTAGTGCTTATTGTTATTAAAAAGTTGATACCTCCACAACTCGTTAACTTTTATATTCAACCTGAAGCAATATTAACCGGTTATGTCATCATCAAAGTTATTATTATTCCTGGACATGGGTATGGGGAGTGAAAAGAGGGAATGACTGAAAAATTGTTCATTGATAACGGGGGAGGGTTTAAGTTATAAACTTAAATCACAGTTCTTTTAATGTTATTTTGTTTTATCATACAATTAAAAATCAAAGTTGCACAGTAATGTCAAAACACAGCCTGGTGTTCGTATGTTTGAACAACCGAATAAATTTTATTTAATACTAAATTAATAACCTTCGTTGAAATGAAAAGCTATATTACTCTTGCAAATTCTTGTCTTTTGACACTTCAAAAACGTTTTCCAAAAAGTACGACTGTTTATAGACACAAACATACGACAATGAATTACAGTACTATGATTTTTTTGAGAAGTATGTTGTACTGAACATGGTTTTCATTTAACTGTGTAAATGTTTACCACTTCCTAAAAGTTTGTTGTGAACAGACAGAGTACTGTAAAATATTTTTATTGGCTTCACAGAAAATCAGGGATTTATTGGTCAACTTTAAATCCTGAAATTATTTTATGTATTCTGTAAGTAAACCATCTTGTTTTTAAGCCGACCGAATAGGAAACAGATGCTTTTGTAATGGTGGCGAAAATTTGTAGCTCAGATGGATGATTTTGATGGAGTTTTGTTCTTTGGTCGTGTCGACCGAACCATCCAGCTTAGAGAACAAAATTCCATCAAGATGGTTTTGTGTTGACATCGTGAGGATGTGAGACTGAATAAATAGTGGTTCTGAAATGCAGATTAGTTAAGAAAGCTCATTTAAAATATTTTGGTATCATATCAACCAAGATCTGGATCAGACTTCGTCAAATATTGTTTCTAATCGGTAATTTCAGATATCTAATATGATTCTTGAGTAGATATTCATTGAACAGTGGATGAATGTAATTTGAATGGAACACATAGTATTTCAGTTTGATTCACACCAAAAAGTGACAATTAATCATAAAAATGAATTAATACTGGGCTACATGTATAACCGTTGCTAATCGACGAGTTAAGCTTATGTACTTCAAAAAATCTAATCACTTTTGCCGTCTTGAAGTTACTTGTTTGAAATCATATTATCTAACTAGTTTAACCAAAAACTGTGAGTTCGAATTATATGATTCTTAGCATTTATTACCTAAAGGGTTTACACTTCCTCTCTAATTTTTGATTAATAATTTTAAATACCTTAGTTGATATTTCCCATGATTTCTCTCATCAGAATTGCATTTTAATATATACATGTATTTCAGATTTTCAGTAGGCATTTATCATTCATCAATACTCCAATAAACTAGTTGTCGTTTCTCAATTTGTTTATTTATTTCATTCTACAAAACATTTTCGCTATGTACAAACTTCAATTAGGGAATTATTAAAGAATTGAAATCATTGAACAATTATTGCTTCTCACTTTCAAATTACTTATGAATACACTCCTATCATTCTATACAATAAGTAAATTGAAGATATTTAAACTTCTACAATAATCATTCTATACCAAGATTGCTCAGTTAACAGTTTCAAGTTCACTTCATTACAACTCTATGATTTCAAACAAAAATATTTATTTTTTTCAGAAATATTTACTTAGAACAATCGTTTTATCAAGAAATCATTTCATTGTTTATTACTGTAATGGCTAAAAATGAATTCAAAACTAACTTGATAGTAGTAGTAAATTAGACTAATTAGTTTTTATGATTATTTAAAATATCTTACAAGAACCTATATGGTGTATAAGTGTCTGATATATATATATACTACTATAATTTTATTTCAATATATAGTTCATTGTTGTTTTTATCATCACCATTTTGTTTATAATATAAACCCAATGAATTCAGAAAAATAACTTTTATCTTTCAAAAAACTTGTTATTTAATGTTAATCATAATAATAAGAAGAATAAAAAGAATGAAGAAAAAGGCACGTGTTCAACGAACTGTAACATTAGTAGGTGATGATGATGATGATGATGATGTTGTTTTCTTGATAATGACGATGATGATGATGACAGATGATGGATAAATTCATTTATTTTGTTGATATCATTTTAAATGAGGTCATATTCTTTTCTATTGTTCCCATGTGATTTCATTTTGAAAAAAAAATTTTATAAGTGCCAGACATAAGACATTAAATATAGGATATTCATCTAATGGCGTGTAAGTGTTAATCTTATTTGGCATACATACAATAGAATTATATTTTATAAAATAAAGTGAAGTATATTGATGAATAGATATATGTAGATTTCGTTTTTAATAATAGACTCCCGCATGTTGTATATGTATATATCTATGTGTAAAATTCAGTCAAGCCTGTCGATCATTAATGAATTAACTTTTATAATAACCAAATGGCAGCTGTATTTATATGATGTATATATATAATTATTACTATTATTATTATTATTATTATTATTGAATGTCGTGTAAGAAAAAGGACAGGTGATAAAATTTATTTTTCTGTTCCTTTCAGTTAATTTCAGTAATAGCACCATGTTATTGATGAAAAAAACAAACATTATTAACTTTCAATGGTATTTTATTCAACATGTTATATCAAAATTATTCTGTAATTCAGCTGGTGGTGTACACAATGTCCAGTCATCTAGACTAGTGGCCACATTGCAACGTGGTCGATAGCATTTGATCTGCACTAAGAAAGACTTGACAACACATGACATTGATCATCATCCAGTGATCAATCAAATGTGATTATTCTGTACGTCATTTATGTTGTTTGAAAAAAAAAACATTAAGAAGATTAAAAACAATGAAAGATCTAATTTTTAATCAACAGTAATGACAATTGATTTCATCATGTCATTGATCAGAAAATTATTTTAGTTAATAATGAGAATAGAAAGATCATGAGAAGATTACCGATTGTATTGATATTGTTATTCTGTAAACTAACTTGATTACTTAATGGTATACCATAATTTAATAATCAGAAGAATTAAATTAGTATTGAAATAATGTTTATGTATTACGTAATTTGTTTTGATTTTCCATTGAGAAATTTTTATCAATTAAAGATATTCATTATCGAGAACTGATATTATTTGGAGATCTATTGAAAATGAAAAGGTATTGGATACGTATTTCAATTTTGATTCGGAGTCAGCTATTCTATGAAGTATTGATTAGGTATAAATGAATGATGAGAAACCTGGAAACCTAACATTTAGTAATTCTGTTAATAATTTGTAAAGAAATCATTTTTTCAGAATAATAATTCTTGTTCCTCAAGATGATTTGAAGAGCTATTATATTGTGCGAATCATTCATAATAGAAAATTGCATTTCTTTACTTTAAAGACAGAGTTATAGCATTTCATAAGGATCATTTTCATACGATTTATTCCTAGTATCTTGGTTCTTAATAGACTTTATGTTAAACATTTGATGAAATTCTCTAGTAGAATATGTATACATACTTAACTAAAACTATTCTCCACCCCTGATGGCTCCAAATGAATGTATAGGATTTGGATTTTAGAACCAAAATCAATTGTCATTGGTAGTTTCTGAAAAACGCAGTGACGGAATTAAGACCTAGATTTATTATCCTTTTGTTTATTACTCCTAAACATTTATTACACATGATGATAACACTAAATCTTAACCTTAACTACATATAGTTTTGTTTGAAAATGAATTAGATGCAATATTGAGACGAAAGAAGAGATTTGTGAATTAAATTAAAGATTTTTTAAATGTTTTGTTTTTATGTTGCTGAATGATTTGTTATGACTTTTTGTTGCGAACAATTATAACTTTTAATTTCATACGAGACATATTATGGTCTTCTTCTGTCGTTGTATTAACATAAGTGCGTAAGTGAATATACTAAATAATCATGAACAAGGATTCAACTGAAAAA